TGTATCATTGTCACCTTAGTGATTATGGTGCACCCTTTTGCCCATCACACTGATGCGCTGCACAGACAACATTAAGAAAAAAAATATCTTATTTGAAAACACATACGAATTTTTACGATCCCTTTGGATGTATGGTTTTCCTTATATGGAGAAACTTTCTATGGCTGGAGGGCTTCTCATATTTGTGTATAGCAGGCCAAGAAACAGGCACAGGTCTTCTCCACCCTTTGCAACTGCCATACCTGCTCATCACGTGGGAAAATTTGCCAAGAAAAGAAAAAAAAAAAAAAAAGAATGACGCGACGCAGAGAGAGGCGGAGTAAAAAATATTCCCCTGCAAGCTCACCCCCAACTTTACAAAAGAAATGGCACAATAAAAGTTACGCATTTGGAGGGGTGGCAGTTGGCGCGACGGGTGGGAGACAAAACTGGGAAGAAGGCCTTTTCTTCCAAAAATGAGCAACGGCCACTAGTTGCAGAGGTCACGCAGGTGAGTTAAGCGACATACCATTGAAGATGCTATAGATATATATTTTTGTGAAACCTCCCACCGCGGGGTGAACTCCCTTCCTTTCCAATAAGCGATGGAAATGTATACAAAAAATAAGCATACTGCTTTGCAGTACATGTTTTATTTTTTCTTTTTCTTCTTCTTGTTCTCCCTCGATTAGTTGCGTTCAAAACTGCCTTGAGACCCGTTAAAGATTGAGATGGCGGTTTTTTCCCCAAAAGTGAGCATCAAATTGTACTAACAAAAATAAACATAAGGAGAAGTTAAAAGAGGTGCCACAACGAATGGAAAATTAGAGATGATATTCGAAATGGTGCTAAGGGTTAGAGGGGCCATTTTTATATTTTCTTTGAGGACACTTCTTTCGCTTATCGTGATTTGTTTTTTTTTTTTGTTTTTTTTTTTTTTTTTAACTTCCTAACGAGAAGGTAGCCATTGACAGAGGGGCAGCCCACGATGTTGTACATTTATTTACAACGCTGCTGCGCATTTCTGACCCTGCCGCGCATTTCTAACCCTGCCGAAACATGAAGATAAGGAAGGGGAAATTCAAAACGAATGAGAGGGACTACAATTATGGCGAACCATTCGAAAGCTACGTGTACTCCAAAGAAGTAAGCAATGATGTGAAAAGCTCGTTAATCGAAGGAGAAAAACTCTCCAACAGATTTCGAAACAGAGGATTGACCAGGGACAAGAGGGCAACGGTGAATACCGTGCTAGATAATAGAACGCTACTTATTTTAAAAAAACTCAAAGATAATTTGCTAAACGAGATATATGGTGTGGTCAGTTCGGGGAAGGAGGCCTATGTCTTCAATTCGCATAAGTACCTGAGTGAAGAGGAGCTCAGGGGAGTCAAGGAGTTGCTGCTCAGGCGGAGACATAGGGGGTGCGACGATCAGCACAGCGACGATCAGCATAGCGACGATCAGCATAGCGACGATCAGCATAGCGACGATCAGCATAGCGACGATCAGCATAGCGATTATCAACATAGCGATCATCAACATAGCGATCATCAACATAGCGATCATCAACATAGCGATCATCAACATAGCGATCATCAACATAGCGATCATCAACATAGCGATCATCAACATAGCGATCATCAACCTAGCGATTATCAACATAGTGACGATCACCATAGCGATGTTCAACGTAATGACGATCAGCACGACGCAGGTCTCCCTGACGGGGACGGCGCGCGCAGGTGCGTCCGCTTCGCGCAGGAAAGCCTGTACAAGGTGTATCACCTGACCAGGCACTTAGATGAAGTGGGGGCAGAAAAAAGGGAAGAAGCAGAGGATGCAAAGAATGCGAAGGATGCGGAGGATTTGAAGCATGCGGAAGAAGACGAAGCAGGGGGAAAAAACGCAGCGAATCAGGAAGGCCGTCCGAACCTTCGAGGCGGGCTGGACGAGACCTACGACATAATTGACCAAATGAGCGAAATGACTGCAGAGGTGGATGAGCAGGATTGGAACCCTTTCCAAAACAAGAAGAAGAAGGTAGCCATATCCTTTGCAACGAAGGTTTATAACACCTCCGTGCTCGTGTTTAAGAAGAGGTCCCAATACATCGAAGGAGAGTTCCGATTCAGAAATGCCTACACCAAAAATACCAACCCAAGGAAAATGGTCAAGCAGTGGTCAGAAAAAGAGTTCCGAAATTTAAGACGAATATTAATATGTGGATTGAGATGTCCCTATCCTTTGGTCCTAAAAAGTAACGTCATTGTGATGAGTATGTTAGGTAGCCTAGACACTGCTTGCCCCAAAATGAAGGACCTAAATTTGAGCCCCTTAAAATGGAAGGAGCTATACATTGAGTGTATATGCATTTTGAGACAACTTTTCTGCAACTGTAAACTTGTCCATGCAGATTTTTCAGAATATAATCTGCTTTACTTTTATAATCATATCTACATCATCGATGTGTCTCAGTCCATGGAACACGACCACCCCTACTCCCTGGAGTTCCTAAAGAGAGATTGCGTAAATGTTACCAATTTCTTTAAGAAGAGAATCGGCACCCTTCAAAATGATATGCAGGAGAGCCTTGGTCAGCTGAACGGGATGCTCCAGGGAGCTAAGATTAACCAGGAGGTCGCCTTAAGGAGTCGCTGCGGGGTCAGAGGCGAGGACGCTTCTTCGGACATCACTAACGGCGCGAATTATACCAACTGTGAGAATGGGCCCCCGCAGGACAAGGGCAAAAACTCAAGGGACACCAAGTCGAGCGAACCCTTCTACAGCCACGTGCAGATTCTCCCACTGAAAAAACTATTCGATTACATCGTTTCGTCTAGCCTACCCCAAGACGTTACCTACTTCCTAGAAAGGGACAAAAAGGAAATACACATAGACCCATCCGAAATAACCTACCTTGAAATTTTTGGCCTAATAAAAAACACCACCCCAATACCTAAGCTGAATTTAAGGAATATAAAAAAAAATAGAACATACTTTGAAAAGCTAAAAAGAGCCACAGGTTATTATGTAACAAAATTTTCTGCACAGAATCAGCCCCACATAAAAAAACATGCCGATAGAAGCCAAGTAGAAGAACAGATTTTCCTAAGTTCGTGGATCCCATCACATTTGAACGAAATAAAAGATATCAGAACAATTGAAAAGGATCTGAAACTTTTGAAAAAGGGAAAATCCATGGTCAGCAATTTTATTTCGACTAATCATCACACAGAGCGTTCTAAGCATGCCCCAAAAAATAACACCTTCTTGGAGCATAACAGTTTAGAAGGAGAGAATCATTCTGATGCAGCCACCGGAGCGAAGAACCGTAGAACAAACGGTGATTGCACAGTACATGCGCAGAAGGAAGATTCAAACGACGAGGACAACGGGGAAGGAGACCCTTACGAACAGGGTAAGGAGACCCCTCAAGACGGTGAACAGGAAGTGTTGGATGAGTTAAGCGATAAAGGGCCTCCCAAGTCACTTGAAAAAGAGGCGACTTCGAAGAATTTACTCGATGCACACAAATCAGACACAGCCAATGACGAAAACAATTTTGTGAACAGCGAACAGGAGGAGGAAGTAAAATTTAGGGGAATAATTCCCGAGGGGGTAACGAGAAAGGAGTGGAGCAAATTAGTGAAAGAACAAAACAGAGAAAAAAGGAAGCACAAAATTCCAAAGTACCAGAAAAAAAAGAAGAAAAATAAAGCCCACTTGAAAAAAAAATGACAAAAAAAAGGAGGAGAACAACCTTGTCAAGCACCACAGAAAGGTGCAATTAAGCAATGTAAAAGAAACATATAAATAAATTAATATGCTACGTTTTGTAAAAGCGCGAGCTTTGTGAAGTCACTTTACACCCCCGTTTGCAGTTTGCAAGCGCCAAGGGGCACATACAATTCGCAAAAAGGAATCCCCCCAAAAATCAGTACTATGCAGTTGTGCATACAACTGATAGGGGAATGGCAAAGGCTGCGTGAATTTACGATTCATATACATTTTAATTTTTGTGATTATGGAAGGGGATTTTTCCTATCAACGAAGTCAGCCCAGTCAACGAATTTTCAAATTACAACACTGCCAAAAAAGTGCAGCGAAAAAGAAGCCGGCATATTAAGAATATTCTGACCGTTACTATTTTTTTTTTTAGATATTATGCAACAGCTAGCTGTCAATTTTTTTTTTTTTTTTTTTTTTTTTTTGAGATTTACAATTAACACCGGAAATTGGCTAGCTAACTGGGACACCCCGCAACCGTTTTAAAGATCCAGCCACAACAACGTTTGTAGGTTACCCTTTTTAATTGATGAATTTTTGTAAACATATGGACCATTTTATTATTAGCAATTTTTCTTCCATTCATTTTTGTGCAATTCTGAGCACGTAAGAGTAGCTACATGCGGGGGTCACACCGCACGAGTTGTCCACATTGTGTGCAAAGGGCTGGTAACACCTCCTCCATGTAGCAGCTGTTATTTTTCGTTTTCACTTTTATCGCTTTAAAATGCTTATAAGTAAAAATGAGGTTTCCCCATTTTGCTTGCCATGCGCGTAGAAAGGATCTCCTTTTTTTTTTCCTTTATTCTTCGCAAATTTACAACTTTGTTTTTTTATATTTGTCCTTTCTTGCACACGGCATTCTTACACCCACAGATTATTCTTTTTTTTTTTTTTTTTTTTTAAATTCGCCCCCATCGCACATGCGTATAAGTAGTCCACTGAGCACATGCCTATGCAAAGTGACCTTTCCCCGTGGCCCCCTTTATAACACATGTGCTGAATTTGGCATACATATAGAAAAGGGTAAAAATAAAGTGGACAATGATAAGGGAAAGAAATGTCGAAGCTTTGATAAGCGTTTTGAGCGGTTTAATTTCGACAGCTGAAGTTTTACCCTAAATATGGAAGGATAAAACTTGAATGCGATTAGCTGTGCATTTTGGCACCTTCAAGGTTTTTCCTTATTCGGGGAAAAAGTATTATTATCTGCTTTCTCACACTAAAAACTCCTTTTTTTTCTCCTTCCCATTTGAACTTAATTGGAGCACATTTTAAAAAATGTGTCTTCACGATCTTTTCCTTTTGCTAAATTGTTCCCATAAAAATGAACTTCCGGAAGGTAGCACAGGTAAAAAAGGGGCGAATACCAGAGCGTTTCTTTCGAAAGGGCGTTCATTGTTTCTTTTTTTTTTTTCGAAACATTTTGGAAGTACTTCTGTCGCTTTATCTGCGCTTCATTTGAGCTTCATTTGCGCTTCCTTCCCGTTTGCCCCCGTGGACTGTTTTATTTCCCCCCAGTTTCCCGTTAGCCATTTAGGGGAAGCCACCTACAGGCAAAGCGCCACTCATCCTGTCAAGGTAAAAAAAAAAAGAGAAAAAAGCAGAAATGATGAAACGTATGCGAAAAATAGAAAACGCAAAGTGGGGGAGAAAAAAAGAACTTCTTCATTATTGTTGCACATCATGAAAGGACTGTTCCTTCCCCTTGTTCACTCCAGGAAAGCAATGGAATAACCAAATTTTTTTTAAAAGACTTGATAAAGGAGTCGTCCCTCAAAAATGCGGCCGCTGTATCAGGCCAAAAGGCAGAACATGAGCGAAGAAACGTGCAAAAGGATGTAAAGCGAATTTTAACTCTACTTTTTGCCTGACAACAAAACGATACATGTGTAATCGTGCACACCGCATCTAGGCACACATCTACACCACATACGTTTTGTTTCTTCTTCAAAATAGGACAAAAATAAACCGTTTAACGTGACCTATACTTGGGAAACGGATCCGATAAGTGGGTTCAGGTAAAAACATAAATAGACAAATGCATGTACCTCTCCCTCGACGGAGGTAAATTCTGTCGTTAAGACTGGTTTCACTTGTTCAGGTTCGTTAATGTTTTAAACAAGAAGGATAAAAAAAAGTTGGGGATTCAATGTGAGTTCATATGAGCCTGTGCCGCTCAGATGGGAAAGATGCATCCATATGATCGTATTTTCCTATCATGGCGATTAACACGATTGCCTTTTTAAGGTGCGTGCTCCTTATCGGGATCCTTCCCCTCTGGTGCAGGCATTTACTGTAGAGACAAACAGTTGTTCAGATTTAAAAGAAGCGTCTTGTACCACATGGTGACTTTCGATCATGGTCTGAAATCAAGTGTCATGGAAGAATTAAAGGTGACCTTCTATCTTCAATGCGCATTTGTTACATGTGCGTGGTGATATGGGTGCCCCAATTAACTCTCGTACTGGCTCGCATTTATGTACATCTACATGTTCATATCTTTTTTGTCTTTTTTTTTTTTTTGCAAGCTTAACGACAAGAACGCAGATGAGCGATCAGAGTTTATTAACAATTTCAATGCAGAAAAATGTGCACAAAGGAGAGAACAAAGTGGGTCAGAAATTTCGGAGAAAAGGGGAATAGGAGAAGAACCCGAAAGAAAACACACAAAGAAGTGTTGTAATAATTACGAACTCATTAAACTTGAAATAGAATTTGTGGCAACTTTGAATTTATTAACATGTGAAGAATTGGAAGCATTGTTTTATTTTTTTTTCCCCGAGAAAATATTTTCATTTAATGAATGTACAGACAAGGAGATCATTATTGAGCACTTTTTACAAAACATAAGTTCCGTTTCGACGAAGTATTCCTCCCTGATTAAGTCGGGTATGTATTTGGGTAAATGTCCATGCAGGTGGAGGCAACAGATGGGCATGCGTTATGAGGCGGCATGACGAGGTGCCGTGTGGGTGATGAAGTGCGAGGACATGTCTCTCGTTCTGTTTTTTCTTTTTCACTATCGTGTGATTTCAAATGTATCCCATTTAAAATGAGTGCCTTTTTCTTCTTCTTCCCTTGGAGCTTCTTTCCCCTTTTTTAGCATATGATGAACCCATACTTAACAAAGACGTTAAATGTGCTACTTTACAAGAATACCTGGATGGGTTAAAAACTTCGGGGGAAGCACAGAATAGTTGTACGGATGAACCGAAGATAGAAGGTGAGGTGGTCTCTCACGAGATAGACGGCAAAGATAGAGAGGGTGCAGAAGGGAACACGGGTGTAGATGACACAAAAATGGGTTCAGATGCAGCAGGTGAGATTACTTCCATTGAAAAAATTCCGCAAAATTGGGTAAATGATGAACATGGAGCGTTGGGCGGAAGGGGGGTGGAGCCCATACATAAGGCGACTAATGTGGGTAACCAGATAACCTCCAGTGTGGCTAATCACCTGACCTCCAGCGTGGCTAATCACCTGACCTCCAGTGTGACTAACCAGCTGACCTCCAATATTGCCAACGAACGAACCGATGTGGACGCCGCCAATGTCGCAAAAAGGAGAAGAACGAAAAAGCCAAAATGCCTAGGAGCAGGCACAGGACATCTAAACCCAAAGAATCATATACTGATAAACATCAGCGATTGCGACATTTTAAAGCACAATGATAAGATATTCATTAACTTGAGTGCTCTTCGGGAGGTAAAAGCAGACGCGGAACGGAAAAAGGAAAATGACGCGATTCTAATTGTTAGCGGCTCAGGGGAGGCGGGGCACCTGAGCGAGGTAGGCACAAGCAGGGCAGAACCAGGAAAGGTGTGCACGAATGGGGTGGACAGGAACGGCGTAGACCCCACAACTTCTGAAGCCATAACTGCTGAACCCACAATTGCTGAACCCACAATTGCTGAACCCACAATTGCTGAACCCACAACTGCTGAACCCACAATTGCTGAACCCACAATTGCAGAAGCAAACGCCAATGAAACAGCACACTCGGCAAAGAAAGCCTCATCAGAACGGATAAACAGCCCTCAAACGAACGCAGCATCTACTGGAGGTGGCAATGAAAACGGTGTGAACCCCGGATTCAATGTGAATAAAAAGGCCAAACGGGCTAGAAATAAAAAAGACACGAATGAAAAATGCACTACACAAGTGGGTAAAAAGGTCGAAACGGGTGCAGAAAACTGTACGACGCGAAATAGCCAACCGAAAAAAAAGATAAAAGTAGATGATCTACCAGGAAACAATTCCGCCCAAACAATTCAAACAATTTTACCTTCACAAGATGGACAAATGAAACAACACTTAGGGGATGGAAAGGCCCAAACAGAAAAATGCAACTCGAAGGGGATCCTTCTTAACGAGAGTAGCAACGTAAATGGTCTCCAAGATGAAGATAAAGGAAAAAATGGCAACAACAATAGAAGCAGGGAAAATTACCCCCAGAGTGGCAGAAGTGATGACAGTAGTACCCCTTCAAGGGTCAGGGACGAAGAAAAACAATTTATCTCTAGTGACGAACTAGTCCATGCAAGAAATATAGAACAAGATGAAGACACACATGGCATGAATGACGATACGGTATATGTGCATCATAGCAGGTTAGGAGAGACACAACAGAAGAACATTGCGCCGCTGGATCAGGGAGGATGCGTTAGGAAGGTGGTCCCTTTAGAAGGGGTTGCTAAGCTGGTCACTGCTAAAATGATTAACAGAGAAGAAAATGTAAAAAGAAAAAAGACAAAAAATCACGATGAAAGGAATAAACCAGAAATTGGTAAGAAGGTAAAATGCCCCAATGGGAAGAAAACCAACTGCCTCACAGGCAATAATGAGATTAACCAAAATAAAAAAAACCCATCGAAGAGTAGAAAAAAAGGAAAAAAACTTAACGTGCAGGAGAGGGACAAAGTGCAATGCAACGCATCACTGCGGATTTCTAAAAACTTAAAAGCAGGCAAATGTGTAAACAATACAGGTGGTAACAGGGGGGTAAACTGTGTTCACAAAGATAGCATTACGGGGAAAGAGGCTAGTAAGAAAAAGCCAAATGTTGGTGACTCCCGTCATGATGGGAACAATCATTTGGGGGAACAGAAAGCCAACGCGTCGCTGCAAAAGCAGTTCAACAGCGTATCTGCAAAGGGTGAAAATAGACATATTTCTGCAAAAATGGGAATTAAGCAATTATGTAATGTATCGACGGATAACATAATTCAGGATGATGTCATGATCATGAACTGGTCGCGCACACGTTCTTGCAGACTTGGTAGATACAGGATGGGGTGACATGAATTTAGCCTCAATGGGTGGAACCTGTCTTGAGTGGTTGTGGCCTGTTTTCACCTTAACAGGGTGTTCAAAAAGCTCCGTTTCGTCGTTCTCCCCCATTTGGTTTATCTGTTTCCACGTTGCAGCATTTTTCACGTTCACCCGTTTGGCGAATTTGACGAATTTGCGTGGCATCGTAGGAAAGACTACCTGCGGTGGTTCGTCGGTTTGTTCGCTTGAATATTTTGTATTTTTTTTTTCCCGTCAATTTGCTGAACTTGTTACACATTGAGAGGTATCACACCATAGGGGGGATTTTTTTTTAAAGTTCAGCGGAAAAACGAACGTTTCGCAGTTATCAGTTGTGCAATCTGCCCATGTGACAAAGCTTTCACATTTGTCCCCCCTTGTGCGAAGCGTTTCATGATGAACAAAATGAAGAAGTATACATTACGTACATATATATTTTTTTTTTTTCTGTTTCATTTGGTACCTGTTTTGTTTATACGCGTAAGCAGAGTTGTACATTTTTCTACATTTTGTGCATTATTGCATTGTATATTTTACGGTATGGGTTTTGGTTTGGGGCCCACCCCCTTGGCCTTTGTGTCAACGTTTGTTTTTACTTCACTTTTTGCGACGCCTCTTCCGGTTTGTAATTTCTTTGCTACAAGGGAGCATTTGGAGCGTGTATACTTCCATACATACATATACACTCACATGTGTATGGCGCCTAGGCGCACTGCAGGATGGACTATAACATACGTGCATACATACGCTTATACATATGTATTATATACATAGGCATATACGCGTATAGGAGGGGATATTTGTTAAGCGCGCCGCCCGTGTATACATAATATAGATATTTACGTATTATTTATGCGTGTATATGTATATACCCATAATGTATAGCATAACTCGTATTCGAAAAATTGCAAATACAATTCATCGTTTTTTTGCTTTTCTTTCGCTTAAAAATAGTTTTGTAAAAAAAGAAAAAAAACAGATGGGGGAAGGAAAGCCAAATTGACAAAGGTAATATATATATAAAATATACCTATATATGTATAATGGCCAAAAGCGCACGTAATGTAAACCATATTATATTCTTTAAATTTGTGTTTTAATGTTTAAGTAAAAGTACTAAGTTTAAAAAGCATATAATAAGCAGGCAGCAAGCAAATAGATTGACAGAAAAAAAAAAAAACGTATAAGTTGTTTATACTAAAAACCCATAGCGCGCCATATGTGTAAATTTTTTTTTTCTTTTTTTTTGGTTGGAATATATCAATATGTATACTACGATAAAAGTAAAGGAGGAGTCACTATAGAATAAGTCAGAAATTAAATGCTATGACTTTTTAAAGTTGTAATTGTTTGTAAATATTTTCAGGAAGTTTAGAGATTAAGCATAGTATACCTTTACCCAATGATAATAAATTGTTTCAAAGGATAATCAAATATATTAAGAAGAAGCAAGAGAGAACGAAAGAAAGAAACAAAAACAACCCCCCCAAAAAAAGAAACAAAAAATGTCTCCATATGAATACTTGTTTAAATACATAATAATTGGCGATACAGGTAATTCCAAAGTGAAACCTAAACGAACACATCGTATTGCCAAATGGAGAACATAAAATGTCTTATTAGAGTTACCCCAATTCATTGATATTATTTTTTTTCTTTCTTTTTTCCCCCCATCCTTTTAAGGAGTTGGAAAAAGTTGTCTTTTATTACAATTTACAGACAAGCGATTTCGAGCTGATCATGATTTGACCATAGGTGTAGAATTTGGGGCGCGACTAATCAATTTAGACAATAAGCAAATTAAGCTTCAAATATGGGACACGTAAGTGGAGAAAATGAAAAGAATCCTGTATGTTCCCTTCGTGAAAGTGATTAAATGGGTTGCGTTCCGCGTTGAAAGTGCCATTTCTTGTTGAGTTTTTTTTTTAGCAATATAAATTCGTGTGAACAGTGTGTAAGTGTGGCCATCGGAATTCCCTCAATGGAACCACACTAACACAGAATCCCATTTTACATCACCTTTTCAACCACATTTGACATTTTTTGTGCGACTCGTTCCCTCATCCCGATGCAGCGCCGGCCAAGAGTCCTTTAGATCCATAACACGGTCATACTATCGGGGAGCAGCGGGGGCCCTATTAGTTTATGATATTACTCGGTAGATATGTATAATTTTACTTCAGCTGTGATGAAATATGCACACCTACTTGTGAATATGGTGCCATTTTGCGACTGCCCCGTACCGCATGTATTCCTTGTAATAGTTCGCACTAGTTAAAAACCTTTTTTCGTTTTTTTTTTTTTCTCTGTTCACCTTTTCAACAGACGAGAAACGTTCAACCACCTAAACAGATGGCTAGATGAAGTGCGACAGAATTCAAACCCGCATATGGCTATCATTCTGGTGGGGAATAAATGCGATTTGGAGAGAAGAGAAGTTTCAGCTGAGGAAGGGGCACAATTTGCTAGACAAAATGGATTAATATTTTTAGAAACCTCAGCCAAAACGGCGAAAAATGTGGAAGAAGTAGGCAGCAATTTTTATCTCGTCATGTTGCATAAATCAAACGGTGTGCACGAAGTACAGTTTATACATTATGTTTTTTTTTTTTTTTTCGGTTCCCCCCCTCCCCGTCGTTTTATAGGCCTTCATTTACACTGCAAGAAAAATATATGATAACATCCAGGAGGACGTGTATGACCTCAGCAACGAGTCATATGGAATTAAATATGGGCCTACCAGCCAGTACTCAAGGGTGAAATTAGGTAAGCTCTTTCCCACCGGCTGCGTGTTTCTTCTACTGTGCATGAGTTCGTCACCCGCTTGAAATATGGACCTCCTCGTGTATGTATACATTCCTATGCGCACATATGCATGTCGGTGTTCCGTGTCCCCTCTCCTTAAGACGTGCCCTCGATGCCGGAATCAAGATCATCCTTCGGCTGCTGTTAACCTTCTGTTGTAACTACTGACCTGCTTTTTTACAGTATTTCGATATCTCTGATGATATCCATTTGATATCCATGTCGATGTCCATCGTGATATCCATTTTGATAGCATACCTTCTTTGTAATTAAACAATTTTCATAAAAAAAGCGAAAATTGGGTAGTTTTTTTTTTTTTAAAGCTATATTTTAATGAAATTTTATTACATGATTTAACGGGTTGCTCTTGCTTCTTTGCCTCTTTCCTTCTCTCCTTTTTTTCTTTTTTAGTATATGTATATTAATTTGTCCATTTTCATGCAAAATTGCAATTTTTCCCTCTTTACCTTTTTTTTTTTTTTTACTTCGAAATGACTTAAAATATATTTATTAAAATTTAAAATAACGAAGCAATGACAAAACGAAGAAGTTGCAAAGTATTCGCACCTTTCCTGTTTTGTTTTTCTCGCACCCGTTTCGCGTCCCTCAGTGAGGGGAAGTGTATTTTAAAAACATAACTGGGAAAAATGTTATACGGTATGTTGCGTGTGATGGTATACCATGTGGAAAGTAGCACGTGATGGTGTTACTTTTGCTTTACTTAAAAATGGGACGTAAAAATTGGAAACGAAAAAAAAGGAAAAAACTTCACGGTGTATATGCCTGTAGAGCACACGTAACTTAAAAAGAAAGAAAAATGTGTAATAACAATAATGAGGTGTGTTTGCCAAAAAATGTGTGCATCTTTTATGAATATGTTTAAATGTTTATTTTTATTCCCAATTGTTTATTTTTAACTATTTTTTTTTTTTTTTTTTTTTTTTTGAGACGGAGTCT